AAACATGTTCACTTTTTTCAGCATCACTTTTATCTGCAAATTTATGAGGACAACATGTACCTGACCTGCCTCCAAAGAGACCACAATTTGCAAAATGTCAGGTGGCTACTTCTGATGAGCAGTAGAGAAGGGGTGAGGAAGCTTTTTCCCCAACTCCTCTGGTACAACAGACAAACAGCCTCTAAACACTTCCCAGAGAAACCTCCATTCAGGCAGAGCAAAGAGCACAGAATGATTGGGACTTTAAAATTCTTGGAGAGGACTCCCCCAGAAGAGGGATATTTGAAATAAGGACCTCTGTATTCTCTCCCTCCTCCCTCGTGGAAAATGACACCAGCAGATAGGACAGAGGCTGATACCTCTCAGATCTGTGTGTCTTCACTACAGCAACTGGTAACTAATTATTCTTAAATTAAAACCAGAGCTGGACAGGTTAGGTCCTGATAAACACAATACAGTTTGCTGTTTAGAGTGTTGTCAGACACTTCATATTTCCTCAATATCATCAATCACAGGCTGCCTAAGCAGCAGAAAATAAATAGGAATCATTCAAATCGCTTCAAGGTTTCCTGGGAAAAGTATCTGACTGCATGAGACCAGCTCATGTGTCCAGAACTGCCACATAAGAAGGTCTTTTAAACATGGAAAGATTGTGTCTTGTCCTCCTCTATTTGTATTTTCTTGACCTTTTATGGTTGCCTTCCTCTATTTGTATGCATCTGTTTGCCATTTACCATTACCAAAAATTCTTCCTCCATCAATGTTTGCAGTTCTGCTGCAATCTTTCAAGACTTTTGCTCTAGCCAAGCTGTCACATTAACCTGGCATCTCTGAAGGCACTGCTTGCAGCTAAATCTGTGCAGAAAAGCCATCAGTCTGGAGAAACAGCAGGGGAAGTTCAGTTAAAGGTAGTACAGGAGACAAGTTTAGTGTGTGACCTTTCTCCTGCCCTCCAATGACACATCAGTCTCCTTGACCATTCCTACAGATAACAGCAAAACCAACAAATGACACAAGAGTAAAGGACTTGTCAAAGTATGTGTGACCTGTGCCACCAATTTCTCTATTAAAGGGATGGTTTTGTTTCTTACTGGCACTTGTTTTCTGCTGGAGACATATCAAGCCTTGAAATTATTGATCTATTTCTGCTGTCAGTCACTAGATCACTCTTTAAACTTAGATTTCTGTGGTGGGATACAAGATTAAACATAAAATTAATCACCAAAATGCTTTTGCCACTTGACAAGATTTCCTATTGAATATATAAGATCTTTGATTTACACCTTATGGTCACAAAATGTGTTTTCTGCTTGTCTCATTTGGGTATCTTCAAGCTTTTCCAGGTTCTTTCATTCCCTGTTCTTTTTTATCCAATAATTACACAAGGAGAGCAATTTAACACTGTTACCATAAAGATGAAAGCCCTAAAAGACATGGCATGTTTAACACCTTTCAACCAATCAAAAGAGCCTGAGAAGACAAAGAGAGAGAACCCATTATCAATGCTTTTTGTTGGGGTATAAGGAAAATCACCTAATGACTGTCAACCTTTAGCCTTACTTGCTTTGGTTACAGGCTTATGCCACTGCTAAGCCAATGTGGTCTGAATTAAATTCCAGGTAAAACAGTCAGAATCCTTCTGCATCCTTACATGGTCTGACTGTCCCAAAGGGGACAGCCTCTATCTGCTCGCCCAAACACAGATTCCCTGCACTTGGCTCTGTACCCAGAGTCGTAAGAAAGTCATTTTAGGAACAGTGTTCTAGGTTTCCTAAACACACAATATACATTGGAATAGTTACTGCCAAGGATTAAAATAATGCCTAAGTGATTTTTTCCAGGCACTCTACAATACAGTAATTTTTTCATCCAACAGCCTTTCATGTGACACTTTTATATAAAAATGTTTACAGGAAATAGCAAACTTTCCTTTCATTCCTCAGGTTACATGTACCCCCATAAAATGCAAATGCTGAGTGAAGTCATTGAGCTACCTGACACTTAAAAATGAACACATCTAAGTATCCTGCTTAAGATCAAATTGTGGCTCCCAGCAGCTAAACGGATATTTCAAACACTGGATAACTGATTTTTTCCTGGCCTCCAACTGCCACTTTTAATGGGGAGTTACACAGTGAATCTTTATTAGCAAAGACGGTGGGCCTTAGGGGTCCAGCAAAGGCAGTTTCCATTTGCACTTGAGCAGTGTGATGCTCAAGCGTTTATCATTGTGCAGACTTCTAAAATTTGAAATGAGGAGTGGGGACTGTCACAGAGACAAAACATCCAGGAACATACAGTCTCACAGCACACCAGAGTCTATGCACTTTGTAGCAGACCTGTAGGAAAGCTGGCAACAGCTGCTGGGAAATGCCAGCCAAAATCCCAGAATCCACTTCTGCAAAGACTTTTCCAAAAAAATGAAAATGTTTCAAATCACTAAAAAACTTCCAGGATTCTCGCTCATCAGAATAGTTCAATAATAATATAAAAATGTCAGTTGCATGCAGTTTTCCTTTTCTCCCATCCTTTCACCAAAGTTTTAGGGGGTGTGTTTCACCACAAAAGAGAAAGCCAAAAAGCCTGAAAACCAATTTGCAAGGAATTCCTTTACCAGTAGCACATATAGAGAGGCACACTGAGCCTCTGGCACAACAAACTTGAAGTTCCAAAAGCTGAACTCAATGGACATGGGCATGTGACTCCTAAAATTTCTGTGGGAGATGCTTTGGCTATTCCCATGCTGGGCAAAACACAACACAAGGCCCTCCAGCTGAATGGGAGTGACTCATAAGGAAGCAGCAAAGCTTTCCTAAAAAGGACCTATCATCACCTTCCTCTTCCATTCTTACTGGAGAGATGTCAAGGCTTTGCTTCTCTTCCCTCTGTCCCTCCTTGCATATTTTTCAATCAAATGATTATGTCACAGTCTTCTTTACTCTCAATGAAGAGAAGCATCCAACCCTTCAGCATTCCAACTGCAATCACCTGTAAAAACAATGAACAAAAGCAACAGAGCACATGTGCTGCTGCTTGGCCAGCAGGTGGGAAGGATCCCTTCCCTTGGGCTGCCCTGGCTGCCCAAGGTGTGCTGTGAGTGTAGCTTTATGCTCATGGCTACTCCACAGCAGCTCACCATGCCAGGGACACAGGTGCAGCTTCTTGTGGGGCAGTGTGTCCTGGCTCTGTGACATGCCGGCTCAAAACCTTGTGACAGGAACAATCTCTTGGGGCAGGAATTTCTTACGTGTCCTTTGCTAGTGGTAGAAATCAATACACACTGGGTAAAAAGGAGCTTCAGGCTCTCTTCATGTCTTCTCTCTCACTGCCAGCTTTGGGAAGAGAGCAGTTGCTACTAAAGAAAAGGAGCTTCATATTTTGCCATGTTCGTTGTCATGGTTTTTTTCCCCCTAAGGCCTTATCCCAGTTACTACAGAAGTAAATTGGCAGGCAAGAAATGCTGGCAGTCAGGAGTCCTATTGCCATAGGGCTGCTTTGTCTCTCAGAGCAAATAGTCTGTGTATTTCTGGTTTATGTTTACCATCAGAGCTGCAGTCAGTCACAGAGGCTGCAGTTCCAGCCTTGCAGCTGCAAGGGGAGATACCACACCCTGCGCAGAGACTTTCAGGAGGGGATGCTGAGGTGCCTGCTCTTGTGTCTCCATGAGCACACCCAGGGACAGTCTGAGGGGTTTGGGCAACTAGGACAGAGTCTGGTTCTTCTGCACAACAAATCAAATTGACCAGCATTATGAAGTATTAGGCATTTCAAATAATCAGAATTTATCCAAAGAAAATGCTATTTATTTGAAACACCTTGTTCCAAACCTTCTGCAGGTCAGAATCTGGACCCAGCCTGGGTTATGACTTCAAAGCTGATGATCCTAAAAATTGAAATTTAAAACCAAATTAAAAAACACCAGAAATAAAATTATCTACAACTGGGGAACTCTCGTTTACACCACCTTGGAATGTGTTTCATTGAATGCAAAAATGAGAATCTTGGCAAAGATAGTAGAATTTATCACTTGCTTTTTCCAGAGGACATACTACCTGAATAGGATGAGTATAATGGAACTCATTGTAATGCTCCATCCAGAAGAGAGTCCATGAGAAAATAAGAACATGCTTTTTAATAAGTGGAACTAAGAGAAGGGCGACTGAGACTTGGCCAATTCAACTTTTCAAAAAGCTTATCCTTTTGTAGTTATTGTAAACTTCATTTCCTCACACTCAGACACACACCTGACAATCTTACCACACAACTCCACTGAACTTTGATGTAAGGGTGAGCCTGCAGGCAGACAAACAAATTGCTTCAGCTCACATCTCTCTTTCTAGCATTTTTGTCTTCCTTCAAGAATCAACTTGGATAAAAGCAAATCTCTTGTGAGGAAAAATAGGCTTCCATTTAGTGAGGGATCATCCTTTATCCATCCTTAGACTGAGAAATGAGTATCATTGAGCTCTAGGAAAGAAAAGGAATGCACAAATTCTGAACTAGCTGATGAGCAGCATTTCTATGGGAAGGCAGGAAGGGGAGGGTTTCAAAGAAACATTTGAGTTTCTTTGAAAAGGTGTACATATTTTGGGTATACAACAGGAAAATTATAACTGCTTTAGAAATGATTCCTAAGAAAACTTACAGCTGTTTACAGGCAAAAGTCTCACTAGGGGAAGAAGAAGCACCGTGGGTTACAGGAGAGTTTCAGAGAAGGCAGCTAGGCTGCCTGGATTCACAGAGGCACTGTCACGTAAACTCACATATGGACAACTGGCCTCCCAGCCTCCACTCCCAGATAGAAATAGACCTCTGGGATGTAAGAGGGGAGGGGGCAGACCAAAAAGGAAGAATTACCCTCCCCCTGGCCTGTGCTAGATTTGTCTGCAGGCACAAGCAGTCACGGGGTCTGTGAAGCAATAAGATAACGTGACATGGCAGAGCTTAAAAATAACATTGCTGATTGGAAAACATCAGTGTCCATTACATGGGACAAACTCCTGGGGCTTCAATGCACAAACGTTTCCAAAGTTCTCTGGGATGGGAGTCCAGATCTTGAAAAGTGGATAGTAACAGCAAATAACTTGTGGGAAAAAGACAACTCCCATGTTTATTCAGACATCCACAGGGTACTCTGAAACCAACTGTTACATCAGGCTCCAAAGCAAGGAAACACTGAGGTCTCAACACGTGCATTTCTACAGGTAATTAGACCTTATTAAAGTGCTTCTCTATATAACAGAGGATGTCAGGAGAGTCTGGGTGTTTGGGATTAAAAGGGTTTCATGCGTGGATATAGCTGAAGGGAAAGCTATAGCTGAAGGAAAAGCTGCTTCTACACTATCCAAAAATAAGTTGTAATAAAATAGTATAGGATTGCTTTGCATGCACTGAATAACAGGTAATTTCACAACTTCCAATACCCATACTTTAAACAAGCTTTTACAAACCAAATTCAATGAATTCTGTTCAAGGGACTCTTGCAACACTGTGGAGCATGCAATATCCACAGGTATTGCAACATCTAATTGCAAAATAAAGGCTGTTTGCCTCCAAACCTCCTCATGCCCTCCTTCCAACCAATGGTGACAATGTTACATGGAGATGATTTTCTTTTGAGTTAGTGAGTTGAATCAGCTCAGTAGGCATCTGACAGACACCCAACACCCAAGTCAAGGAAAGTAGCAAGCAGAACTTTCCTGATCTTTTCTTAGCAGAATTGCAAGGCCAGGAGCTGAGAAGGGGAGCAAGACCTCCCCTGTAACACTGAACTGTTAGCACAGCTGCTTCTGGCACTGCAGTGCTCCTCACAAGCTGTTCAGCTGTCCCCTTGGTTAGGGGCAAGAATTCTGCAAGTCACTTCTGTGCCCAGGTGCTCCAAGGTGGACAGGAAATCAATGCTGCACCCACCGCATGTTGTGGCCACGCCTCTAAAGAATCAGGGAGAAGCCAAGTATTCATGAACATTTATTGGCACAGAAAAAATACCCCAATTATTTGTGAGTGACAAGCTAACAAAGGGAGTTTTTAAATACTCAGATTCAGAAATCCAAGCACAGCAGTTCACTACCACTGACCGCAGAAAAGTGGATATCTTGAAACAACTCAGCCAATGCAAGGTTTGCTGGTAACTCTTTCCTTTCCTTTTTGTTCTTAGCTGAGCCCTATGCTCTGACCAGCTTGCACTGCACATTCCCTGTTTTCCCTCAATATATTCTAGCCAACTTCTGCTTTTCTTTCAAACTTCCAGGCCAGAATTACTGGGATGAGAGCATCACTGTACCTTCTTACAGAGAGAAAAAACCCAGCACCGAATCATTTTATGTGATGAAATGAACACAGCCCCTGGTGATCAAAGGAGAAAACCAACATCTTCTAGAAAGAGTTCAGAGTGGAACTCAGCTGAAGGGCAGAGGGCTCTGGAGGAGCCCTGAGTGCATGGCTCAGTGACACAGCCAGGCTGACCTGCTGGCTGGCAGGTGCAGAGGGAGGACTTCTGTTCCAACATAATGTTATTTCTCTGTCCCCTTAACACTTGATTTTGTTTGTGAAATCTTACAAATTAAGTGGGTTGAACAAGCCATGGTGGACCACCAGAGCTGCTGTGGGGAAAGCAGTGGGGAACAGGAAGGTGGAAGGAGCAGGAATGGTCCCTCTCACCTGAAAAACTGAGAAACATCATCAAACTGTGTGACTTCTGATGAAGACTATACTGGGTCTCTGTATCTCTGCATGTGTGTGTCATTGGGCACTCAGACACTCTCAAGAAAGAGTGAGAGGAAGAGGTTACCTGATCAATCAAGTATTTCCTTCAGCTGCAGCTCTTTTTCCTACAGGAAGCCCTGGCTTGTATAAACCACTCAAGAAGCAAACATCAAAGGACTCCTCTATCACTTAGTCAGGATAATAGACTGTACTTGAACTCTACTCAGTGAAGTGAAACTTCTTAAACTGAGAGCTGGAGTTTAATTTGTTATTCCTGGCAAACTGCCCAAGCGGAAATGGATCCAGGGCAGAAGTTTGTTTGTTAGATAGCAGTGAGAGATTGACACTTTTATAATAAGCCACAAAAGCAGGGAGAATAGAAAGAGCTGCTAAAACTACTGATTATTATAAGACCTGCTCTTAATGCTGCATCAGGTACAAGATCTCCATTTAGTAACTGTCAAATAATGGAAATAAGAGACCGTGAAACATCAGTAAGAAGGATTTTGAGCAGACATTCTGCACATGAGACTGAGAATTCAAAAGAATAGGAGGAAAAAGCACAAAATCAGCTGCAGCAGGTCATTTACAGACTGGAATTCTTCCCCAAAGACACAAGGTAGTGACTGCCAGTCCTGTCCACACCTTCAGCACATTGCATGTCCATAGTCTGCCCACCAGCATCAAAAATGTAGTGTAAGGAGCTCTCAGTTGTTAGATAAGGTAGGTTACAACCCAGCCAGGATCCCACTCCAGAGTGGTGTCCTGTAGCTTTGCTGCCTCTGTGCCTCGAGATACAGAAGCTTATGGACCCTCGAGATACAGAAGCTTATGGACCCTCTGCACTACTGTGGCACAGCCTCAGTCACACCAAGCTCCAGAAAGCCAACAGAAAACATGACCTGTGGTGAGCAGACAGCAAAATGGTTTCACTGCACAGAAATTCTTTGCTATTTTTTTGAAAACAACCAACTGCACCTGACAGACACACCTTAAGCAAAAACATCACATGAACATTACCCAGTGATCTCTCAGGTGAGCTCAATTAAGATATCATCTCCTGAATAAGAAATCTGAAGTTCCTTTTTGACTTCAGGATATATAAGTGTTACCTCTTTATTATATATTAACAGTAAATGTATTCCATGGTAACACATGCCATTTTGGAATCTCCTTTACTGTCAGTAATTTACAAGCTGCATTAAGACAGACAATTCAAACTAATGAAAGCTCCTAACAAGAGCAAAGCAGTGCATTTACCATAAATACCAAGGGACTTCATCCCTTCAGGCAATTTTTAAAATATTTTTTTCCACTTCACTATGCCTGGAGCACAAGTTAAAGAGCTGATTAGGTATATACATTTAAAATATTAAGAAATGCTGTTGGGCATATTTGGTAGTAGCTCTTCTGAAGTTCCTCACACAGATTTTGCAATGTGGAAGAATTCTAAATATTGTTATACCTCTTTCCTTGATATTTTCTTCCTTTGGTAAAGCATTTTATTTAGAAAGGCTTTGTCTAAAGGTTAAACAGTCCCTATGCAATCTCTGAATGAAAGAGAAAAGCGTGTTTAGATGTCTGGTCCCAACTGCCAGTGTCCCATGCCTGCCAAAACTTCCAGCCTGTGTGGACACTGGCAGCTCCCAGAGTACATTTGCCACCAAGTCCTGTCCTTCCATGTGGACAAGGCAGACGTGGATCCACCCTCAGACCCTGCAGAGATGCAGCAGAGAGTTTTCAGCTGTTTGGACCATGAATGCTTTACAGACATTCCTCATCATTCAAAGAATAAATAGCACCACACGTGGAAGCATCCTGTGGATCAGTCTGAGGCCAGGAGCAGCCAAGCTGACCCATACTGGCTCTGCCATACACCACAAGAACAAAGTGAACATTGTCCAAATACATTTCCTGTCATTTCTGCCTGGGTCTTAGTGAGATTGTCTCTTGGAAAGGAAAAATTCATCAACAAACATTCATCCATAATTAAGCAAATAGGCTACTGGAAAAATTTAATAGCAAATAACTAATAATGATTTTCATACCATAAGAAGACAAAAAGAGAAACAGGAAAGCAGGAAATCATATTCTGGCTTTCTGCACAAGAACCACAGAATAAATCATATGCTGTTGATACACTGCTTTCAGATTCTCACCCAATAGTTATTATGACCAAACCTACAGCAACTCTATGTAAAAACAGAGGAATGAGGCTGGTGGAGACTGTTTGATTCTCAAAGCCAAGATAGTTGTAAACAGGTAACATCTTTACCTTTAAATTAACAGTTTTAGCTAATTGGGCTGTCACTTTTCCATCTGCAAACCACTAAGCATTTGCCTCCTAAGCTCAGGGAAAAGGCCTCCAGAGACTGTGAGTCAGTGAATGAAAATGGTTTTGGGTCCCATGGCAAAGAAAGTACTTTGCTCTCAAAAATAGATACATTTCTTGTGGGAAAAAACAGCCCAGCTCCTTCCTCTCCCATAGATAACAATGTAAAATGTCAGACACCTCCCAGGCTCTGTTCCCAGGAGATCAATAGCATTGCAGTCATTACTTTGGTGGGTTTTTTCCTTAAAGGTTAATTCATATCTAACCAAAAATTGTGACCCAACAGTGCACTGCTTATGGGGGCATGAGGTGTGGAATGTCAGGCTGGCAGTAGTGTTGAACTGCTACAGCTGCAAAAAGCTACAGCAGGATTTGGGCACTTGGAGACACAAAACTGGGGTGGGAGACAGGTAAAGATTGGATGCAGGGGAAAGGCAGGGCCTGTGTTCAGTGCACAACAGTGAGAGGCTCCAAAGCAAGGGGAGGAGGTTGCATGCAGAGAAAACCCACCTGCTTTCTTGCGTTTGCAGCAGAAAGCCCGTGGGATGCATTCACCGTGTTGCCTGCCGTGTCATGCAGGTTTGGGGATGCACAGTGACAGTAGAGCAATGTGGAATGAAAACCTAAAGATCACATTCAGGGTAATAATGGGGTAACAATAAGGATAAAAATTGATCCATATGCACCTTTTTAATGCACAGGCTTTCACCCAGAGGGTTTGGTGACTGAAGCACCTGGGGCCCTGGCACAGAAAAAGCTCTGCCAGAGCCACCAGGCAGAGCCCTGTGCTGCAGGGAGCCCCTGCTGCAGGGCACAGCAGCCCAGGGGCTGAGCTCTGCTGGGAAGCTGCACAGGGGGTCTGCCAGCAGCACTGCCACCCCTCTGTGTCACAGCCCTGCATCAGGCTGCAGCTCCTCAGGAGTCTGCTCACCCTCAGCCCTGCTGGGCCCCTGCACTGCACCTCACACCTGTATTAACTTTGTGCTGATATTGCAGGCAACCACCCTAGGGCAGGGCAGAAGCAAGGGCAGATGTGACATGCTCCCCAGAGGTGATCCTGGTCCATTTATTTATCCTCTGGATAAATTCAACACCAAATAGCTGGGAAAAATAGAAAAAACAATCCCAGACAGGCAGTTAAATGGAACCCCAGGCTCTGCAGTACCACAGCAGGCTCCACAAAGCTCTTGCAGTCCCAGGGGAGTAAGAAAAGGGGGAGGAAACATCACAAGAGATGACTTTGCTTACTCACATCATTGGTGCAGACACACTTGTTTACATTTGATTGGCCTCATCTAAACTTTGCTGGAGGTTGACCATAATATTTACAAGCTGAAAGAACAATTATGTAGCTGAGAGCAGCTAAATGGAACAAAACAAAACCAGAGACACAGAAATCATGTCATTTGCTAAAGACAGAAAAACAAACTAAGCCATCAGACCACACATCTGCCTCACGCTATATAAATTTACACTGTGGTACTATTTGTGCAGCTTTACTGCAATATGGATGTTCTTTGAGTTTATAAACACTTACAGTGCTTATGTGCTCCATGTACTTATTTGTACCATAAAAATTTATATGGAAGGATATTTCCTATGCCTCGTCTGTTTGTTTACAGAGTCCACCTTTAAAAGACCAATATTCTTCCCTCTGGGGCCTGTTTACAGCCTGCACCTGTGATGGTTTCTTCAGTTTCAGACTCATGGGCTGTATTTCTTACATAACTGTTTTCCCTCTTTCAGACACCATTAATCATCCTTCTGTCAAGATCTTCTTCCCACACCAGGCTTTACTGTACATTCCTTGCGTTTTCGTACCATGATGTCAGCCCAGAGTGGAACAAAGATAAGAATTGCTCAAGATTTTCCTTTAAATTATCCTGTTTCTACAAAGCTATATATAAAATAAAACCCTCATACTCACCACGGAATTTGGAAAGGACCAGGCTTGGGGATTTGTGATTTTCTCATATTCCATACCCTTATTTCTTGAAAACTACATGAAAAATGATTTCGGAAAAATGAGTGCAGAAGGGACCAAAGCAAGCACAACACAGCTTTGTAATCAATGGCAGAGCAACTAGGCAAGTATATGTCAATTACACTGCAAATGTTTTGAAAATGTTTTGTCAACCATGCTTGAAAAGTTATGACTTTTTTTTCAATGTTTGGGTAAGTGTGATTATTGCATGCATTTAACACCTTTTTGCCACTGCAAATTATTTAGAATAGCAAGAAGAAAAGAGTGCTGAGATGCTACTTCCATTCATTTGCATGTTTCAGAGATAGGATGGACTCCAAATTTTTAATTATCATTTTCCTTTTATGAAAGAAAGCAAACTCTATTGATCTGTCAAATCCCTATTCCTGGGCAAGCATTCTTCCTACTGTGGTTTTACTGGACTCAAGAGTAGGTAACTCTAAATAAGTAAAGATCTCTGCCTTATTTTGCTGTAACACACCATAAAGAGTAAAGACTTCACGTAATATCACAACAAAGCATCAGAGGAGCAGTATTGTAACATATCTGGCTGTCAAGCATCAGCCTATAAAAATACCCAGGCAGCTCTGTTCTCTTGAAGTGAAGAAGAGAGCTGTTCAGGCAGAACAATATTTGTTTTATTGACCGATTTTACTGTTATCTGTTACCCACCAGTGGGCCCCATTTGCAGTTTTCATCATAGAGTAATTGCTTATTAGAGACATTAGCAGGTTGTTTATTTGAAAACTATTATGCTAATAAGGAACAATCATATTAGCAAGGTGTGCTCCTTACAACTTTATTTGTTTATCCTCAGGGACTAAACTTCTGAAACCTCAAACCTTTTGTTACATACTGAAAGATTTGGAAGTAAAATGTCTGAAGTTTTTTTTTTCATGTCTGAGAAATTTGTCCAATAATAATCAGTGGTTTTATTGCTATCATAAATAACAGGAGCTGCCTGTGACAGAAAGATGCTCACAGGATTGAAGGCAATTCTGTACACAACCATTTACTTGCTAAGCAGTATGGAAAAATTATGTTGCTGCTGTATTTGCGTATTTTCTTATTATAAATGTTACCACAGCTATAACATATCAACTTTAGTATACTATTAAGCCCAAAGGGAAGGAAAAAAAACTGATTGTAGCATAACTTCCAAGGCTCTGGGAAAGCACCTGTTTCCCTTATCCTTTGAGCTTTAGGGGTTTTTTAACCTCAGACTCGCCAATAAACTCCCTTAATAATAACTTAAGATGTGATCAGTTATATTTACACATCCCAAGACTCCTAACAAACCAACAAGTACTTACAGCACAATTTCACTCCTGAAAGAAAATGCTTTCACCATTGGCACAGCTGAATTTTTTCCTATGCTGCTGCTGTTCATTATTTTGCTGTGCCAGGGTTATTTGTACTACACATAGTATCACTTTCAGGCAAAAATTCAGAAAGCAGTCTTGCAATGGGTAGTGCCCACAAGCAGAGTAGAGTTGCAGATTCCAACCAGACTGCATACCAAAGCAACAAGACATTATTATTTATATTCCAGCAGCACACAGACCCAAATTTGGGATCACAGCCCAATGTGATTAGGTGCAATGTAAAGACATAGGTAAAGAACAACCCAAACCAAGAGGATCATACATAAAATGATGAAGAAAAAAACCCAAAACAAACCAAAAATCAGGGGAAAAAAAAAACCCAAGCAAAAAAAAGAAGAGCAAGCAAACCACAGAGCAGGAAAAGAAAAAAAAAGAAAAAAAAGGAAAGAACAGCTTGCATGGGGACTGACCAAACACAACTCAGCTCACCTCTAGCCTGTGGCTTGCTTTGGCAGCCATGAGTGAAGGATGTGGCTTTGGATTAAGTAATCAGAAAAGTCTGTGTAAAAATGGAAACAGAATAGGCTAGATTTTGTTATGCAAATATGTAGATACTAAGCACTCTAAATATCCTAGTGTATTTCCCTTCTCCCTGTTTCTATGTACATACAGACCTGCATATATGCTCATGTATGACTCATAATAAAGTTAATTTGATCCTATTGCAGTGTAAGTAAAATGCTGAAAGAGGAGGTAACAATGCAGGGAATCAGACATGTATTAAAATCTCATATGTCTGTGGGCTGGAGTCCAAATTTTGGAAACTTTAACTGTTGAAATTGAGTGAGCACACCCAGATACTACCTGAACTTTCACTTCACTGACTTCATATGAGGAAAGAGGGGCAGAAGGAGATGAATTCTTACACCAAAATTAAAACTTCTTGCAGTAGTCTCTATAACTGTGTAACACCAAAGAAAAGAGAAATATATAAAAGGCACAATGTTTTTTTCTGAAGCCTCAGCCACTCTTCAGGAAGGAGACGTATCACTTTGCATGATACTTTGATACTTTACAAATCAATGCTTCCTTCAAAACATGGGAGATCTTTCTTCAGTGCTGCCTTTGTGCCAGAAAAGTCTCTCTGAGTAAGGGCTGCTTCACTTCATAGCCCGTGCAGAGTTCCTAGGGCTGAAAGCTCAGCTCAGTATCTGTGGCTGGGTGCCCTTCCAGCCAAGCCCCTGCTCTGCCTGTACTCAGCCCCCTCAGCTACGCCAAAGGATCCCATCCAACAAAGGACTTCCCTGCATCTGGAGTGGCAGGATAAAAGCCAGCTTTAGACAGCTGAGAGCACACAAGAGCATGTGATGTAGTCCCATACTTTAAGAGACCATTTCAGCAACTCCTTTAAACAGGCCTGTGCCCAGTGAGATTCACCCTTTGAGCCTTCAGTGTAGATTACAGTGCATACTCTTCTCGTGTGTGCTTCAGCAGAACCAGGCACACAACACCGATCCAGCAGAAACAGGGGTGGGACAGTCCCTTCTGCTTATCTTTCCCTGCCCCAGATTTTGCAGACTGCTTGTTCCACTCCACCAACACACAAGGGTGACAGCTTTCCAACCTCTTCCTCAGCTACTTACATCAGCTGGCAGAAATTCTTCAGAGATGGCAAGAGGGCTGGATATTTACAAGTGGTGTTTATTTTTCTGGAATAGCATATGCAGCCAGCTGCATGTTCATTAAAAAGTCTTGTGATCTGAATACCCTTAAGCCACTCTCCTGTGTCTCTTGTCCCTCTTGATCAGCTTAAAAAAAAAAAAAAAAAAAAAAAAAAAAAAAAAAAAAAAAGAGAACATCATGCCACTTCATGGTATGCTCTTCTTACAAGCATGATCTTGTTTGTTAGCACAGACAGTATGGGATGGCTTTGAGAAGAGCTCTCTTTTCCAGCAGGTTTATATTTGAAGGTGACAGTAATGAATGGGATCAGCCTGTTTCTCACTTGCAGGGGCTGAGCCTCAGGCTGGGACAGGAAGTGCAGAGAGGAGGATTTGTGTCCAGTTGTGCTCCAACACCACCAGGGCTTTAAGGTCCTTCTCTCGGACTCACCCTTGCTCCAGGTCATTGGTAAGGGAATTTGCATGTGAGGTTTTTCTACTGACTGTAGTTCTGGTCACAGTCTAGCTTAGGAAGAGAGACCTGTACTGGCTTCATACACAAGGGACTACAAGTGAATAAATATCAGTGATGCCACAGTAGACAGGAACAGATGAGCTGAGGCCTTATCATGCACCCAGAAACACCTGAGGGAAGCAAAGCCAGGCTCAGGCAGCTCCAAAGCCCTGCTCTCCACAATCCTGTCACTACCCCTTGCAGCTGCACTGCCTGGGCGCTACTGCTTCTGCCCAGGGTGTGACAGAGAGGGGACACCCTGCAGCTCACACGGCAGGGTGACAGCACCTCCTCACTCCTCTGCCTCACCCCTGTGCAGATGTTGGGAAGGCAGTGTCCCCCAGAGATACTGCCAGTCTGACTGGAACGTTCCAGGTGTAGAGAGAAAAGGGAGTACCCCATTTCTGAACAACTACAATGAGCCATCATGGCTTAGAATTGCCATTTTAATTGTCTCCCAGCAAAGTAAAGCTTGCACAGAATACATTGCTGAAAATAACAATTTTTTCCTTCCACTCTTTCCAATATCTTTTTTTTTTTTCTTCCAGTTTTGCTTGGTTTTATTTTTAGCCTGGTTTTAGTGTCCAGCAGGAACACTAGAGGAGCAGAGAAAATGGGGATTTTTCTTGCTGTTCAATGGGACTGAGCAGCCCAAACCTCTCAACGCTAGTTTTGCACTACTGCCCTGCCTTCCTCTTGGGGATCAATTCAGCAGCACTGTTTGGGTTATATGCTGGATATAGACTTAGTTCTCCTCCATTCTGCTGTTCCTGCAACTCCATTAAATTTCCACTGGGTATTTGAAAACAACATTACATATGTATATACACACATACACACAGACACATAAAACAGAGCTCTTAAAAAGAGTTTACATCCTGGGAGGAAGCCAGCATTGATTTCTTTAAATTTAGAGTAACTCCTGACTTCTGGAGGAGTTCATGTGTCTGAGAAGCAGCAATGGAAATTTGTCTTTCAGTGGTTCTGCTTATCATTCATCTGGGTTCTGGAGTACATTCACATCTTTGTAAGGGCCTGGAAAAGCTTCACTAAAAAGCCTTGTTCCCATTAGCAAATCTGTAAAACTGTTTGAGGGACTGACTGACTACAGATAGATGTACCACATTCATAGTCCTTGCTCCCCAGCTGCCCAGCTGCAGCACTCAGTTCCCATACAGCACCACTGCTGCTAAAGCCTCAGCATTTCATCCACTTATTCACCTGTCACGATGCAGAATGAGTCTGTGAAGTATTAGTATAACACAGGAGCTCCCAGGACTAAGGAGGAATCTGGCACAGATGAGACAAGACAGTTTGGGTGATGGCCTGTGTGGTGAGAAGCTCAGGTAGAGAACACACTTCGAACCTGCAAATGTGCTGCTCATGTCCAAGGAGAAGAGGCTGCTGCCATAAGTCATCTTCTCTGTGAAAATATTCTGAAATGACAGCATCAGCCTCTATATTTGAGAGATAAACTAACCAGTTTCTTTAGCCTCCCTCAAACTTTATCACAGACACAAAGAAAATAAAAGATAACAAAAAGAAATCTGAGACGTCATTTATTTTTATCAGCCTGGACCTCTGGGACACAGTTCATGCAATTTCTCCTTTTCACCATTCCCCTTCTTGGAGTCACCACACTTAGGCAGTAAAATATCTAATTTTAGTAAATGGCAACTCCTGTATTTCTGAAAGAGTCGAATATGGTTTTAGGCTAAGTCACAATCTGGCACCCAGGTCAAGTTGGTGTTTTATTCAAGGTCAGAATTGCTTAAAGGCAGCCCCCAGAAATGCAGCACAGATACTTGACTTGAACAAACTAGTCTGGAAGAAATATATTAAAAATGAATGAGGTGGTTGATAAACTCCCAGGACAGAAATGTCCTTTGCTTTTTGCATTAAGAACAAAAAGGCATGAACACAACAAGGACATTTATATACAGGGGGTGATGGGACACAAAAGCAATTAGAAAGGTTGGATTTACCTTTGCTTGCTTCTACTGCCTGTGACTGTCAGAGTTTCAGAGGAGGGGGATCCTTGTCCTGCTTTCCCAAACATCTGGGGCTCATGACTAAGAACTCTGCATGTTGTGCTCAGCAGCAGGGTGGTTTTCCATGCTCCACACTGAAATCTTCCCAGGGCAACCTCTGGCCACCATTTCTGCTTCCACCTACCAGGAAAGTATTGGCCCTGCAGAAACTTCTGCAAACAAACCCTCTCAACAGCAACAGCCACAAGTGAGCGTATTATAATGGTAAAGGAGCATTGAACAGTTCTTTTCTAATCAGAAAAAGGCTGCTGTCAAGTGATTTAATTTCCCTGCAAAATTGTATAGTAAAAAAGAAATTGCATGTAAAGACCATGTGACTGGGAACGAAAAGCCTCTCGTTGAAAGCTTTCATTTGCCCTTTATCACACTGTTTTGCTTCATATTCTATAAATATCTCATGTGCACTGTTTCTCCTTTTGGCCTCATAACTATGAACTGGTTCCTCACTGGCTTTGCAGAGTCTGAAGAAAAATCTCTGGAGAATGCTGTAAGCATTTGATAGAAGCTCACAAGTGGATTAATTTCAAAACAGAGCTCAGTTGGCACATTTAAAAATATATAATAATAAGAGCTGTTTGTAATAGATTCAACTCCTTCTGTAGCAGAAATCAGGAATCGGAGTAACTTGGTTTCTGCAATCCCATTTTAGTTACAGTTAGGCTGCAATTTATTTTTAGTAACAAACTGTTTCCCCAAGACAGATTTGGCTGCTCATTAGCATTGGGAGTCATCTCTACAAAAAATATATTGTGAAATTTCCTTTTAGCTTTGAGTAGACCCACCCATTTAAACATAAACTCCATTCTGCCAAGACAGAGAACATTTGATTATCCATCTTGTCATTGACAGACAATAAAGATACTGAAAATAAGTTGTCCCTCTTCCCTAAATTTTTTACTTAGTATCACCACACAGTTTTCCTTTAAAAAGGAAGGGAAATATGTTAATCTGCATTATGAGCTTAA